GTGGCACCTTTCCACACCCTCGGCCTCTGCGTACCAGTCTCCCCGCTGGAGGGCCCTTATGTAGTCGCGGGGGGTTTGATGATGAGGCTCCTTGAGAAGTTCCCGGTGCGGAGAACTGTCCGTAGGAGAGCCATAAGGGTCCCGTCATCGGCGCCGTCGACCTTATTCGTCTCCAACCTCCCGTGTTCCAAGAAATCTCAGAGGGTTTCCTCCTTCCGTTGCCTTATCATCAGTAAGTGGGAGAAGTGTTTCCTTGACCGGTGCCTTCCCGCAAATTGTGTCAAGAAACGTTGGGCGAGTTCTTGCCACGAGTCAATGCTTCCCTCAGGCAGTCGGTTTAACCATTCGTACACCGGTCCTTCCAAGGTGGACAGGAACCAACGACACAAATATTCGTCCGACGCCCCTATCATCATCATGCTGTTTTGGTACCTGCTATAGTGTTCCTGGGGATCCGTCTTCCCCTCATAAGGCTTTATGGGTTGTCCCCAATACTTACCAGGGATCTGAGCTGCCAATACCCTCGGGGTGAAAGGCGTCTTCGTGCGAAGCTGGATGACAGGTTGCCCGGAGCCCTCGACTAGTTTCCTCTACATCTCGTCCACCTTGGCCAGCATGGCGGCGTATTTGGGGTCCGCCTGTGAAGCGGAAGCCGTCGTTTGGGCCTGACGGGCCTCCATCTCGTCGAGGCGGCGCTAGAGGGTCTCAATAATCTCGTCCCTGGGGGCCTTCGAGAGGGCATCCGCCCCTGCAATTGTGCGCGGGCGGAGTGAGCTTGGTTGATTTGGTGCCTGACGTCATCAGAATGGAGCAGCCCCTTGCCCTTGTCCCGGGGGGGGGGACGCCTCTCGTCTTCCCTCGAGACGGATCCTCTGCTCTCTTGAGGTCTTTGGAATGCCTTACCATCGAGGCGGTCTTGGACCCCTCGACGATCTTGCACTCCTCTCAGCCTCTCGAGGGCGGATGTCTGGGACCTATCTTTGTTCGCACCGCGCTGGTCCCGGGACTGGACTTCCTGGGAGGCGGTGTCCTGAGCCACGCCCCCCCTCGTTGTTTCCGGTTCTTGGAACCGGGTGTACGAGGGGGGCGGAGGTGGTGGAAAAGTGATGGCGTTTCCCCCGACTTGTGCCTGGGACGGCACAAGTGCCTCGAAGGCGCCAAGATTATGAGTGAGAGTGTGGATGAAGGCTGAAAAAGCTGACTGCACGTCAATAGTGAGGACCAGAGGGCTCACTTGGTTTTCGCTCCGGTCTTTCCTCCGAGTCTCGATACCGAGGCGGGCATCGGGAGCGTTCTTCTGGAGCTGGAGGCGTAGGTCAGCACCAACCTGCTCCATTTTAGCGAGGGCCCACATTCGGGAGCTATGTTTGAGACTTCAGCGGTGTTGATTTCACCGAGGCCCAAAGTCTTTTCTTCAAGGGTCTTGGACTGAGCACGGGTGGGTCTTCCCATTTCGATAGGTATTTTTGTGTTCGGTGAGGGGGAGGGTTTTTTACTTGATTGTTCGGAGCTCTCAACGAGAGCACCAAATGATGGATAGTGTACCCGGAGGGTAACTTATCTGACGAGTTATTGCGGGGAATAACCTAGAGAGAGGTCAGAGCAAGTAAGAGAGAGAGTGAATATGTATTCAATATAGAATGTTGTGTTGTTTACAATGAAAAACGACCGCTATTTATAGTAGCCATAAATGCTAGGCAGGGGCACATGTCAAACATCCGACGGCCGAGGGTCATCTCAATCGGGGGTGGCACCGGCAATCGCATATGCACCACATTAAATGCGGTGGTTTGGACGTGACGCCGCATTTAATGCGGTGGTTGCCTGTCTCTAAAAGGAATCATCATCGAGTATGCTATATGCCGAGGGCATCATATAACCGAAGGCATTTGTACAGCCGAAGGCTACATACCATCGAGGGCACAGAATAGCCGAAGGCTAATATTCTAGCCAGAAAGTCCCAGAGGCTTTGTAGGTCCGATACCAAGTTGCCTTGTAGAATTTGGAGCCTTCGGTCACAGAGCCGAAGGCACCCAAATTTGCACCGTGGGCTTCTTCATGTCTGGGCCGCTACGTTTGGGCTTTGTGTGCTCATTGGGCTTGATGTGCCCGTGTAGGAGAAACAGGAGTCTGTGGGTTGGGGGTCTCTGGGTCATATACTCCATCAGCAAGATTTCTAGGACATGTAAGATTTAGAAGATATTGAGAAACACTTGCAAATTAGATCGTGGTACCAACATACAATGCACATGGTATACCAATATCAAATATGACAATGTTTTTCTTTCAAGTTGGGAGCACTAAGGAGATTCTTGTTTCTTTTCCCTCAAGCCCCCCACTTTCTTTTCGTTCAAGACCTCCATTGCTCGAGGTATGTTATTTCTTTCTTTTTTCTTTTTATTTTTTATTTTCTCCGATTCTTTTTTCATCTACATCGAAATCCTAAAAATTTAATCGTGATTTTTCTTATTATTTTTGACTAATTAAGTTATAATTAATCATTTATCTTTTTTTTTACAATTTTTTTACGAAATTTTATTAATCAACATAAAATAAGTATATTACATAAATAATCATACACCATTTTTTACTTTCTTTCTTGAACTGAAATTTCTACCAACTTTGTGTGTGTGTGTAATATTTTCTTACATTTATACAATTTTTTGTAAAATACTTTTGACTTTTCATATTCATACACTTTTTTCTATAATGCATTTCTCATTTCTTTGCAAAAATGATTTATTTCTTGTCTCTTTTATATGTATCGTGTTTTCCAGATATTAAATTTCTTTATTTCGATTTAAATTTGATAAAACATGAGATTACATTTTCATATATGTGAGTTATGTTTATAGACAATTTCTGAAGTTACATTTGATAGTATACTGAATTACATCTTCCTGTGCGCGAGTTACATCTTTTTATGTGTGTGTGAAATTTTTCACGTGCAAGTTACATTTGGATTTGCCTCTACAAGTTACATTTTGCATACACCTAAGTTAGATTTTCCATAACACAAGTTACATCACAAAATAAATCAATGGTATTGAAACAAAAAAAATCTTGTTTTTTGGCAAACAATTTTTTTTTGGTGCAAAAAATGTTTTTTCTATAAAACATTTTTATGGCCATAATATTAAAAACAAAACATATTCACTATTTTCGTAAATTAATTGAACAATTAAACTCCTTGTTTTCATTGTTTACATTTGATATTATATGAAATCACATTTTCTCATGCGCGAGTTACATCTGTTTATGCGTGAGTTACATCTAATGTATGCGAGTTACACGACTAAATAAACCTCTTTGTTAATGATAAAAAATGTTTTTTAACTATATCATTTTTATAGCTCTAAATTAAAAATAAAACATATTCATTATTTACAAAAAATAATTCGGCAATTAGGAGCAAATTTTCACTGTTTACATTGAAATCAATGTTTTTTATATTCCGTTTTAGACAACTTCTGTTTTAACTTGACTCAACCTTTTGAAATCAATTAGTAGCAATTTTTCACTGTTTAACATAATTTACATTTGTTTGAATGCCATGTCGCTTTGGTCAACCTTGCCACATATAACTTTCGTGGCGCGGGAGGAGTAGGCAGCGGTCAGGTGCCTCAACCTTCTGCCGCCCTCGTTGAACCCATTCCGCCTCATCATAGGGATTGCCGCCCTCCGGCTACTGTTGGTTGGCTTTCTTGAAAGAAGTTCTTCCATTCTCGGATTGATAAAGCTTACCTAATTGGAACAGGAGGATGAAGATTATAATAACTACAAAGAATAGAGCACAAACACTATAATTTATATTTCTTTGCAAATAGGCCCGTGAAGCCACCAAATCTGTCGCCGCCATTAGACTTAGCTTTGGGTTGAGGAATAGCCATCGAGTTTCGATGGCCGTGCACGGTGCCCACACATTTCTCCTCCTCCACTATATCCAAGATTTTATCGGTCTCGAAGAGATGTCCTCCATTTGTACTATTAGGCTCTTAGAATCCAACACAACAGACCCTTCTCTTGGCTGCTTCCACCAGAGATTTTCCGCCGTTGTGCGTGCTATCTATTCTGTGGAGAGTGGTGACCGAAGAAGCCATCCCAACGGTTATTTGTTATGGTTCAGCCTTTCAATTGTTCAAGTGAAATACCGGGAGGCCGTCTGTCAACCCTCATTTTCGGCCTATCAGTCTTATCAACAAACTTTTTTACCAAACACGTAAATTTTGCTTTCGCGCGCTGAATTGTGTAATAAACCGAAAAAGTAAGGTTGAAGTTACTTTTCTGACTGTATTGCCTGAAGTTACTATAGATGATCATTTTAGCTATTTTTACATATAATTTTTTATTTATTTTATTAATAAAATATATTTTAAAAATATTTATTTCTTCTATTACCAGAATCAGCCAATGCAGCCACTTCAGGCAGAACTTCATAAATTTCAGCAGAATCAGCCAAAACAATCGATTTTCGTGCTACCAAACGGGCTCTGGGTATATAAATGGCAAAGTGCCAAAAACATAAGCCGTGGAGTCTGATTGTTTAGTTGTAGATGGAATAAGGATATATTTCCTCCGTATCGTTAAGATTGTCCCATTTTATCTTTTGAGAAAGTCCCACTAAGATTGTCCTGCACCAAATTTGGTAAAGATTGTGTGGCTCTAAATCATTCTTACTTCATAAATTTAATAACAACCACACAAACTCACTTTTCTTAATAATCGTGTCACATTCTCTTATCCCAATCTTAATGGGACGGAGGTAGTAATAGAGATGAAAACTTAATTTGATTTATTAAAAAAACAGGTGATTGTATTTAATAAAAGTGTGGCTGTTACTAGAATTTCCCAAAAACCAAATAACCAATATTCATCCACATGTACCGTTCATGCGTGCTTTCACTCTGGACCGCTACCGCGATATACGAACCGAACTGGAGAAACAGTTTCCTTAACCCGATTGGTAAGGGTTAGGACGTTTTAAAGTTGTAGCCAAAACCGTCAAATTACAATTCATGAGGGCCAAACTGCAATAAACAAAAGAAAGGGAATAGCTCAAAATCAGGTGTTCAACCCTAGCTTGTGAATAGCTCAAAGGCTGAGCTCGGTCGAGCTCAATTTGAACTTTCCTCTTCAATCTTAGATTCAAGGCTTGAAGCTGTGCGTCGTGTTCATATTATCTGGGATTCGGCTTCTTCGTTTACATCCTAACTATACACAGACGTAAAAGAAAGGGATACGACGGCAAATTCTAGAACTGATCTAATGGAGTCGAGCTTGGACAAGCTCCATGCAGGCGACTCAGACCAGATTTGGTGTACGCCATTTCACCGGAGAATTGAGTTCCATTTGGCCCGGAAACCATTCAATGGTTTTGGGAATGGCTGTGGTGGGTTTCACCTGGAAACTTTGAACCCCAGTTCGAAGTCAGATTCTGTCACTGGTACAACACTTGGGCCCGGAAATCCTCAATTAAAGAAAAACAGCAGAGACTTTGATCCAGAGCTCAGCCGTGACATGACATTCCGTAAAATTATGAGAATTGTTAGTGATTTTACTGGAATATGTTATACTTGGCTTTTGCATCTCATTAGTACACATATACCCTATATATGGGTATGCATAAGCGTATACTTCTTATTGCCCCTTTCAATAAAAAAGACAACAATTTTAATTGAAAAGACAAAAAGGAAAGCTAAGTAGGGATTAGTTCTTGCTACTATGTATTTGCAATGAATCTCGACATGTTTCAGGGCGCTGGATTACAAAACCTTGGAAATACTTGCTATCTGAATGCTGTCTTACAGTGTCTAACATACACTGAGCCTTTAGCTGCATATTTAGAAAGTGGGAAGCATCAAACTTCTTGTGAGTGTCTCTCTCTGTCTTCCATCTCATTCATTTTGTTTGCATTGAATGATTTACTTGCTTAGGTCTCAATAGTTCTTCTTGAATTTCACTTAGATACTGGTTGGTCCCACAATTACCATTCTGCCCAAAAAAATATTTATGCCTAATAGATGATATTTCAAGATTATCCTAAAATTAAAGGCTTGGATGTTGTTGTTGTTGTTATACTAAAATTAAGGGCTATTGTAGTTGTCCTGAACAGGGTTTTAAATAGCTGTAGCGGTCATCTCGGTAGCGTCTGTTGCGGCCTTTGCAATGCGTATAGCGGTCGTAGCGGCGTGAAATATTTTCAAGTGCGCACAACATATAACTAATAGGTGTTAAAGTTAATAGAAACATTATGAATATTTGTTTGAACACTTATATGTGAACAACTAATCAACCAATAAGAATATGACAATTTAAAGAGAATGATAATTAGAAAGATTGGTAAACTAAATAATTATTACACACACAATAAAAAATGTCTTCAAACTAAAGAAGGCAATAACGTTATAATATTCAAAGTATGTTACGTGTGGCATAATTAAAGCTTCAAAGTATAATTCAAAGAAGGCAACCACGTTATTTCAAATTATATTCAAAGAAGGCGATAACGTTATATTCAAAGGCAATAACATTAAATTTAAGTTAAATACATTAAAATTGTTGTCCTGTCACAATCAAATTTTGAGAAGTGGACCATGCATTGCAACTTGCATAATCCATAATAATACCACTTCCGTCCGTCCCAAATTGTTTTGTTAAGTCAACAATTTTTTCATCAACCGATATTAAAGTTAAATCATCCTTATTAATAATTGATTTGGTTTTAATAATTAAAATTTACATATTTATTAATATTTGGTCCCATAATGTATGTGGATACATGTACTTTTAATTTAGAGTTTCACTCCATGCACCACCATGGCACCATTAATGTATTTCACACCTGCACACAACATTTACACATTTACACCTCAACTAGTTCGTCATGCACTACCGGAGGTGCCGGTAGCGGCCCGTAGCGGTGCGTAGCGGGCGGCGTAGCGGATTCTAGCGGTAGCGTACCGGTTACGTAGCGTTTTTTTGCATTTTGAATTTCACACATTGATAGCTGCCCGTATTTTCCATCATTTGCAATGGAGCCAAAGATTCATTATTTTTTGGCTTGAGATTATGATGGAATAAAGCAAAATGGATCACTAAACTGTCTGCGCTTCTATGTTATGAAGCATCAGTCAGTCCATGCAATTTTGGACGAGATTTTCACTATGGGTCATTCGGAAACAGTCTCTCTGTGCTTTAGTACAGGGGTAAGACTGCGTACATCCGACCCCCCTTACCCCACCGTAGGTGGGAGCCTTTGCGGCACTGGGGTAAATGAAAATGAAAATGAAAATGATAGCTGCCCGTAGCGGAGGCTACCGTGGCCGCTATATAGCTTCGAGATAGTCGTAGCGGGCCGCTATTTAAAACCCTGGTCCTGAACCTTTCAACTTTCATGTCATATAAGTTATTCTCAAGGTCGTAGTTGCTAGAAAGTATCTTGCATGACTTGGTTTGATTGTATATTTACCATTCAGATTAAAGAAAATACGTATGCTGGCGTGATGATTATTCAAGAGTATCCTTGAATGTTTAAGGGCTACCATATCTCTTGAATCAATTGACTTTCATGTCAAACCATATTAACCTCCAAATTATATAGATGCCTGCAAATCTTGGATTAACTTTTGCTCCAGTCTTTGAATTTGATCACCGACTACTCGTCCCATCACTAAAGAAATATGACACGGAACTTGTCGGGCATCATTGATCATTACAACGCCTAATTGGCATCATCCAAGCCACGTAAGTGCAGACCCATATACCAGAACCCGATTTTAAGGATGTTTTTTACTTGGACTGATTTCACTCCCAGACCAAACCTAAACAGACCATACCAGATCAGACTTCGATAGTTGTAAAATACACTTTGTCCAAACATCTACCAGACCTCCTCACACTAGACCAGTCACCAGACTTAAACAGACAGACCAGACCAGAAAATTTTAGCCCAACTGAAAACATCTAAGTCCTCGCCCCAAAAGCCTTGAAAAAGAGTGTATCAGTTTTTGTTTTTATTTTTTATCTATTTCTTTAGCTAAATTGTTTCATTTTTTTCCTTCCAATTTATTTCTTACATGTTTCATTTTCTCTTTTTGTGCAAATTATTTTATGATAGGAAGTCACTTATCCCCAGTGGTATTAGTATATTATTTCAATGAGTACTGGGAAAACATACAGAGTTCATAGATTATTACACTGAAAGCTGGAAAGCTAGAGAGGAAATCAGAAAAAAAGATGAGACAAATCTGAGAGTGTCTCTCTCCCAAGCCCAAGCCTAACCGAATCCCAACTTGTTCTCTTCTCTCATTCCTTGCTTATTTCTTCCGCGCTCCATTGGCCACCTCAACAAGTTGGTTAGTTGATTCCCTCCACTAGCTGATGGTTCTTTACTGTTTTACCCTTTCTTTTGTAAACTTTAGAAATATCCCGGTTGACAATAATACTGAGTATATTTGGTCTGTCTGGGTTTTTGTCATCACTCCCCCCTTTAAGAAACACCTTTTCCTCAAGGTGGAAATCTGGAAACTGCTGAAACTGCAGAAAAGGTTCCTAAGAATATTCAAAATCAGGTAGATGTCTTCTCGAGTCCAAAACCTTCTGGCTGTGTGTTCAACTCCCATTCTTCAGTCACACAGGGTGGTAGGGCGTGGCATTTACTATCAAGATATAAAGATTTTTTTAAAAAGAGAAATGTGAAACACTAGGTGGACCACACAACCTTTTGGTAACTTCAGTTTATAGGCAACCTCACTTATTTTTTCAATAAATTCAAATGGTCCATAAAACCTGGGACTTAGTTTCTGGTTCACTCTTCTGGCTAAACTCCTGAGTTTGTACAGTTGGATTTTGAGGTGAACTCTATATCCTACCTCCACTTGAAGCTCTCTTCTGTTTTAACTCTTCTATCATCCCATGTCTTTCAGCAGTGAGCCTTACTTCATCCTCCACTGCAGTGACTAATACATGTCCTCTGATTAAAGCCGGAGGATCCTTCCCAAATAAGGCTTTGTGTGGGCTACTCTTAAGGGCAGAATGGTAGTTGGTATTATACCTGCCCAAGGTAACCACCTAGGCCACTGCTTTGATCTTCTATCAGTAATACACCTTAAATAGGTTTCCACACAACGATTCACCACTTCTGTCTGCCGGACTCTGCCCCATCTATTTGGGGTTGATAGGCTGTGCTATATTTGAGCTTGGTTCTTGCTAACTTGAACAATTCTGACCAGAAAGAGCTGAGGAACACGCTATATCTGTCAGATACTACGGTCTTAAGAAATTCTTGTATTCTCACTATCTCCTGATTAAAGGTATCAACTACCCCCTTAGCAGTGTAAGGATTAGATAATGCAAAAGATGAGCAAACGTAGTTAATCTGTCCACTACAACCAGGATTGTATCCTTTCCCATAGCCTTAGGTAATCCCCCTATGAAATCCATGCTCAAGTCAGTCCATATCTGAGTTGGAATAGGCAGTGGTTGCAGTAGGCCAGTAGGGCTCAGAGCTTGATATTTATTCCTCTGGCATACTTCACAATTTTTCACATAGTTCTGAATCTCAGCCCTCATTCCTTCCCAGTAGAATACATTAGAAATCCTCTTCATGGTTCTGAAATTCCCTGCATGCCCCCATTGTTGAATCATGGAATTCCTTTAATATGGAAGGTATCCTGGAGGACAACTTGGATATCACCAGTCTCTGTTTATAATACAGTAGTACTTTTCTTATAGAAAAGTCAGGATGTGTACTCGGTAGGACCATCAGTTCCTGGATAATTCTCTGACGCCTTGCATCCTTCAACACCTCCTCTTCCAGTCCTTCCCATTCTAGGCAAGTCACTACAGAGAGAGTACACAAGCTTCCTTTCCTGGAAAGTGCATCTGCAGCTCCCCAGAACTTTCGTATTCCATTTTTGCTGTTCTTCCCTAATTATCCTTTGTTCAATAAGGAATCTCAAACTTTTTAGGTCAGTGTGTATCTCAAAACTACTCCCTAGCAGATAAGATCTCCACTTCTGGACTGCCAATACTATCTGAAATACTCAAAGTTGGTTAGTTGATTCCCACCACTTACCTGATGGTTCTTTACTGTTCCTCGCAATTCCAGGACATAGAAGTTTGTGAGGGATCAGTATGTTTTGTACCACCAATTTCAGCTTCTCACATCTGCCCTGATTATGAATTAAATCTCCATTTTCTTTTCCCACCCAAAATTCTTTGATCTGGGTCACATGAATGTCTAGTTTGCTCATCAAGTCTTGTGAAATAAAGTTGTGGGTGGCTTCGCAATCAATCAGAGTTAGGACTGCTTCACCTTTTAACTCTCCTTTGACCCTGAAGGTTCTCTGAGTCGTTATTCCCTCCTTGCTCAGAATCGATAGTTGCATTTGGTTGTAGTCTCCTATTTCTGCAGCATTGTGTCTTCACAGGGCGAGTCCACCTCTTCTTCCTCTTCTCCTAGGGACTCCATCAGGATGAACTGACAGTGTTTCAGTTTACATAAATGTTCATTGCTCCAATTTTCTCCGCATTTTGAAACATAACCCTTTCCGGTTCTTCTCTTGCAATCCAGCCTGATTAATCTTTGTCCACCCTTCCAAACTGTCTTCCTTCCTGGTATTTCTCCTTTTTTGGCCTCATATGTAGATTTCTCTCTTAAGCTCTGGTTATTCTGGTTAAATTTCCACTTATTGCCTTCTATCCAATTCAAGGGGTTATAATTGTATCCACCCTTGTCTTTCACTCCTCGTTTATCCTCCTCCTTCCATTTACAAGATCTAAGGGCTGCACTCCTCATTTATCCTTCTCCTGGCATATAACTTCAATTCCGCTCTCACTTCCTCCTTCAGACAGTCAGACCACTAAGTAAAATCCCTTTTAGCATTTCATTATCAGTGTTTCTCATGGGAGCCACTACAAATTTGAACTGTTCCCTATACTCCATCACACTTCCATTTTGTTTAATACCCAACACTGGTCCGTACGGGTTCTGCACCAGCTCTGGTTGGAATCTCCTGATTAATGCCTCTTTGCAGTGCTCCCAGTCACGATCATTGGTCTGCCTTCCCACATTGAAACCAGTATAAGGGTCTCTCCTCCATTACGATCACCGCCACGTCCACTTTCTCATCTTCCCCTACCTGATTCAACCGGAAAAATCGTGCCACGTGAACGATCCAACCATAGGCGTCGTCCCTGTTGAACATCAGTAGGTTGATCTTCCTTCCATCCCCAGTGATATTAGTATATTATCTCAAATAGTACTGAGAAAACATACAGAGTTCATAGATTATTACAATGGAAGCTGGAAAGTTAGAGAAGAAATCAGAAAGAAAGATGAGACAAATCTGACAGTGTCTCTCTCTCCCAAGCCCATGCCTAACTGAATTCCAGCCTGCCTGCCTTCTCTTCCTCGTTCCTTGCTTTATTTCTCCCACGCTCCATTGGCCACCTCAGCAAGTTGGTTAGTTGATTCCCTCCACTACCTTACGGTTCTTTACTGTTTTACCCCTTCTCTTGTAAACTTTAGAAAAACCCCGGTTGACATTAATATTGATTATATTTGGTCTGTCTTGGTGTCTATCATTTTAATCTAATTTATCGTATTTTCCCTCTAAATTGTTTTTATATGATTTAAATTTAGTCTATTAGTTTTAGTCATTGACCTTTTGTTTAATATTTTTAATTGTGTTTTAAATTATTCATAATATATATAATATAGTTTTAAAGTTTATAACATACTTCCTCCGTCCCGAATTGAATTGCAATTTGCTGGGTTTTTAGATAAAATCATCCATGCGGATAGTTAAATCAATTTTAATAATCATAATTTACATATTCAAAAACTTCATTAAAAGTTCTATAAAGTCACATTATCCAAATTAGAATATACGAGTAATAAAAGATTGGTATGCTAAATAAGTAGACTAAGAAAAGTTGACTTGGCAAATTATTTTTGGATGGAGCGAGTAATATTTTATCATATTATATTTAAATATTAGTTTATTACATATTGTGCAACACTGCAACTTGTCGCCTAGTTGTCACTTAGACGGTTGCTTAGGCGATAAGGCAGCCTATTGGCATCACGTTTCGCCCAGCCACTGTTTGAACTTTGGAAGCTATAAAAATGGCTATAGTGTCTATATGAAGTTCTATAAACCAATTTGATTTCGGAAATACTTTCCTTGGAAAAAGTACAAAATCATACCGTGCCTGATTGGTATCCCTTTTTGGCTTTTGGCCCATTTTTTTTACCAACCATGTTTTTTATCTCTCCCGCCAAATTGTGCTATGAACAAAATAAGTAAGGATGGAGTTACATTTCTGGCTGAGTTTGTTGAGGATGATACTGTTAGCTTTTTTCATTTTTTGATTTATTAATATAAAATATTTCGAAGACACTTTTTCATACTTTAGCAAATCCATCCAATTGAGCTGTTTTAGACATAATTGTAAGGAGATCGAGCCAATTTCAGCATTAACAAATGTGCCCATAATGTATTTATGAGTCCACTTAAGTGTTATAGACATATTTCATGTATATCAATGATGTTTTTCATATTATACATGTAGATTGGTTATAATAAAACATTAGTGGTCATAGTCTATCTTCGATGCTGCTAGAGTGCACCATAGCAATGTCTTTTTTAATCACACAAAAAATATTTTAGCAACCCAATATTAGATTCTAAGCGCTGTTTTTTGTTTGAAACCAGATGTCATATTCTAAATACTGCCTTTCTTTGAAGTTTTGTTTCTCGTACTTCACAGTATTCATTGCTTTCCCTTTATGATAGTAAAACCCTGATGGGGCACTTTGTGGTTATATTTAACTTGCTACCTGCCAATGAAGGGGTACTGTAAAAGACGTAAAGTAGTTTTTTATTTGTGTGATATTTAACTGCGGAAGTGTTGGAGTAAAGTCACACTGGATTTTTATTTGGTTGCCCTAGGTTTCATATTTTAATTGTGAGATTTACATGTTGTAGATACTATTTCTCACCATCTTAGAAAATCCTTCCTTAATATTTGTAGGTCGCAAAGCTGGATTTTGTGCTTTATGTTCCATCCAGAGGCATGTGACTCATGCTCTTAAAGCAACAGGGAGAATTCTGGCGCCAAAAGATCTTGTGTCCAACTTGCGGTGTATCCTCTTAACAGTTTAGAATCCACAAGTTTATTGATTTGCCACTTCTATTTTTTGGAAATTTGGTATTTTCACCCCTTGTTCACGTCAACATTTGATTTTGTATCCCATTTTTTATGTTCTTTTAACTTTGCACCCAGAGCAGGGCCAAAATCAAATACTGGAGCTAAATATTGAGTGCAATGCCAATTTATTGTTAGGCTTTGTATCACACGTTTACACCCACTGTTTAACTTTGTACCCACTTGTGGTGCAGTAGTGCACAGTCCAAGAAACTAGGCTTTATTATTGGAAGATTGCAATTAAATTTTGTGGGATTTGTGCTTCATTGTTTCCATTTCAATTTTTGTTTTGTTCCAAGGCTGCTGAATAAAGTAGCTAAATGATTTAGAGCCCATTTAGTAACACTATAATCGATGCATTTTTGGGTGAAATGGCTGAATTGGTTGAATATGCTGAGTTGTGAAAAAATTATATTTAAAATATATTTTATTAATAAAATAAACAAAAAATTATATGAAAAATAGCTAGAGTTGTCCTCTTCATAAATTTCATCTAATTCAGTCATAATTTATTACTTATTTTCATCAGAATTCAGCGTGTGGAATCAAAGGTCACTTGTTTCATAAAAAATTGGTTGATAAGGCTGATAAGTTGAAAATAGGGGTTACCAAACGGGCTCTTAACTATGTTTTGGTTATTGAGAAATAATATTTGAGGACATCAATTTTTTACTAAAAAATAGCTACAGTTTTAAAGAATTGCATTAGGACTCTTCTGTCCAATGCTACAATATATGTTTGGAGTTTGCCTTGACTAAACATATAGGCATATCCCGTAATTTCCGAAATGCCAGGCAAGAAGATGCACACGAGTATATGGTGAATTTGCTCGAATCAATGCATAAATGTTGCTTACCTTCAGGCATTCCAAGTGAGTCTCCTAGTGCTTATGAGAGAAGCCTGGTCCATAGAATATTCGGTGGCCGCCTTCGTAGCCGGGTAATTTACTCTTGGTTGCTATTATAGAATTATCTCATGGTCCCACTTGCTAACCGCATGGACTGGATTCAGATGCAACACCTATCAATTTATCTTTCTGGTAACACATTTGTAACTTCAAACATATGGTCCAGATTTCATGAAATCTATTTGACGAGTCTAGCACATGCAGGGGATGTCTTTGTTAGAGTTTATGTGTGACTGTACTGATATGAAACTATTTAGAAAATAGCCCCTTTGGGTGATATTTTTACGATGTGGTTGTTTATCGGAAACCTGTGTTTGCTGCATCATACTACCTCCGTTCTCTTTTAAATGCAACATTGGACTTTTTGCACTATTTACATGTTTTACTTTGACTCTATTTTATTTATTAATGTATTACAAAATAAATTTAAAAAATTATTGTTAAATTTCTCTTATTTTAAATTTTCAAAATATATATTTTTAATTTTTTTTACTAATAACTAATGAAAGATATTATTGGTCAAACTTGTGTGTTGTCAAACGTGAAAAGTGGACCGTTGCAATTAAAAAAGAACGGAGGAAGTATTAAATAATTTTTTTATACAAAATTGATTGCTTGCAGGTGAAGTGCATGCAGTGTTCCTACTGCTCTGACAAGCTTGATCCATTCTTAGATATAAGTCTAGAAATAGTCAAGGCAGATTCTTTATACAAGGCCTTTGAACGTTTCACTGCACAAGAATTGCTGGATGGAGGTGATAAACAGTACAGCTGTCACCAATGTAAACAAAAAGTCAAGGCCTGCAAGCAGCTCACAATTGACAAGGCCCCCCATGTCCTTACCATTCATTTGAAGCGGTTTGGTTCACATTTGACGGGGCAGAAGATTGTTAAGAAGATTCATTATGGTCCGGTTTTGGATTTAAATCGTTTTATGAGTAGCCCTCATGTAAGTATGAGTTTTTTGGACATCATTAGTCTTAAGCCCAAATACATGGATGAAAATATAAATAAATCTACGGAGGTGCTCGAGTGATGTTTTGTTAAAATTCACTGTTTTTATTAAATTTTAATGAAAAAATTGAAAATAATAATCCCAACTATTGCCGGTCCGCTAACAATAATCCCAACTATTGATTATTTTTGTATAATCCCAACTATATGGACCGTCCGTCAATAATGGTCCATGACCGCATATTACCTGCTCTATCAAGTGAATTTTTAATAGAAATTAAGCGTAAAAATTAAAATTTGGGATTATTTATAGGGATTACTTGCTATATCCCTTTAGAAACTATATGAATTTATTTATAGTCGGTCACGTCAGACCATTATTGGCGGAAGGTCCCTAAAGTTGGGATTATTCTGAAATAATCGATAGTTGAGATTATTATGAGCAGACCGCCAATAGTTGGGATTATTTCAATCAATTTTTCCAATTTTAACTGCAACACTGATTATTTTTTTAATTTTAGGTTTTCATTGAACATTTTATATAGGAAACAGTCATACTCCGTATTAATCTTTGTTTCACTAGGTCATTAACGCAAAAGTGTGCAATTGAAATTCTAAACACAAAAAAATAGAACAATCAGCCCAATTAGCCTGTAATGTCCAATAAAATGTCCTACACGGCATATTATGTAGAGTTTTAATCCATTTCCCTTATCGACAACTGAATGGTTTGGTGATTGTCGCCCACTCGCCCCGTCCATGGACAAGGCTTAAGTTGTGTTCATGGATAAAGCTGTTATGTATTTAGGCCAATACACATAATAGGCCGTGTAGATCATTAACCAGGTATAATGGGTATGGGCATGATGCACCGTGTTGGTTTGTTTAAGGTGTTAATTGCACAATTTTTTTGGGTTCAGGAGCCCAAGTTACTAATCCAACTACTTACGGACTTCCACTGTATTACTCAATTTGATCCTTTTCCCTTATAAAAAAAATGTTTCTTTTATGTTAAAATTAATTAATGATATGTTTCTGTTTATAAAACTAATTAAAGTTTTAATAGTGATCCATATATTAATACAACAATTCTTAAATGATCACTATTTATGATTCTTAGAATGTTTTTAAATGGACTGAAATTTTCTGGCCTGGTGTGGTGTCTGGTTTCTGTGTACTTTGTAACTATCCAAGTCTGGTCTGGGAGTGAAAACAGTTCAAGTGAAAACATCCTTCATCTAATGAAATAAGATTATGTAATATATTGGTTATTAGTATCATAAAAAGTTATACATGGAGTACTATTTACTATAAAATTTGCAAATTCCAATTTATAATATGAGATTTGTTAATAATGGTAAAAGCTTACTTAGTTTTAAATGTCATAGACTTATAGTCATCTTAATGCATTTATACCCCGTCTTTATTTAATATTTGATTATTTTAAAATTTAATCTATAGGCTATCTTAGTTTCTATAGTTTTGTTTCTATACTTAATTTAAAGTTGCATAACTTAATTTCACATTTGACAATTTTTAATAGTTGCTTTTCCTTCACTATATCAATCAGGATTTTTATCGATTAAAAATAAGTGTCGTGATTTTTTTTATATTAATCGTATTTAATAATTATATGAACATAATTATATTTTTTCTTGATCGAGTCTATTTGGTAATCCTTATATTTGGCTTATCAGCCTTATCAGCCAACTATTTTACCGTACACGTAACTTGTGATTTTGCACACCCCATTGTGTAATAATCAAAATAAGCAAATTTAATGAATTGTAGCTTTATTTTCATTTTTATTTTATTTTATTAATAAGAAAGTTTTTTAATATAGTTCTTTCACAATCCACCAAATTCAACCGCTTTAGCTAGAGTTTCATCAATTTCAGCAGATTCAGCTGATTAACCCAATTTTAGAGTTTTTAGAAATAAATTTAGTATCGGACCCTACCATTTCAATAAAAACAAAATTATCCGATTCTCATTTATTTTCATTTCATTTTTCATTTTCATTTACCCCAGTGCCGCAAAGGCTCCCACCTACGGTGGGGTAAGGGGGGGTCGGATGTACGCAGTCTTACCCCTGTACTAAAGCACAGAGAGACTGTTTCCGGATGACCCATAGTGAAAATCCCGTCCAAAATTGCATGGACTGACTGCTGCTTCATAACAAAGAGCGCAGACAGTTTAGTGAGCCATTTTGCTTTATTCCATCATAATCTCAAGCCAAAAAATAATGAATCTTTGGCTCCATTGCAAATGATGGAAAAATCCGATTCTCATTTATTGTTACAATTAATTTCATGTGTTAAATATATAAGGTCAAACTTTTTAACTGGTATGGAATATTATTTGTATTGTGGACTTTATAAGCAGTGCAATTTGCCATGTAAGTAATCTTGCTTCTTTTTAATCATTGCAGAGGTTTCAATAACAATTATCGTCTAACTCTTTTTGTTGTGTTTGAAGGCAATGCCTTGCTTATCAATTGACAAACATGTAGTTTTGATTTTCACTCCTTGAAAAGAAACTAAAGATGTTTTTAATTGGACTGAGATTTTCTGGTTCGGTCTTAATTGGTCTGGTATGATCTGGTCTGAACTGGTTTGGTCTGGTAGATGTCTGGTCTGGCCTCCGTGTATTTTTTAACTGTCCTAGTTTGATCTGCTTTGGTCTGAAAACAGCCAAGTAAAAACATTCTAAGAATATCCTTGAATTAGTCCAATATTAACAGGTTTAGAAAACCTTCGTTTACAAAAGACTTCATATGCATTTTGTTTCTGCATATTGCTTTGTTGTCATGTTGTTCTTGTTATATTTCATTTCATATTCTATGTGCTTTGATCTCCATCTTGGACCCTTGGCTATATGGTTGCAAATATTGCGTTAAGTCTTTGACTAATTAATTTTAATGGATATTTTTCGTTGACATTTCATATTTACCAAAAATCAGTCCCAATGATCATAAGTACATACTTCAATTGCTAATTTCCATCCAGTTTGGTATATGCATTCTGAAAGTGAATCTTGTGATCTACTTAATTTCTAGCATTTGCAAATATACTGCAGACTGGTGATCTGAAATACACTCTCTATGGTGTACTAGTTCATGCTGGCTGGTCCACACATTCTGGTCACTATTACTGCTTTGTTCGCACTTCTAGTGGGATGTGGTATTCCCTTGATGATAATCAGGTATCGGGAATGATTTAGCTTTTTTCTTTCCATCTTTATTCATTTCTGAGATTTGTACGAACTATTTTTTCTTTTTGAAACTGACTCCAGAGCATGCGTCTTTTACATAATGAACAGGTCATCCAGGTAAATGAGAAAAAGGTTTTGGATCAAAAGGCATACATGCTATTCTATGTTCGAGACAGGAAAAGTAATTTACCCAAGACACATGTTGATGTTGTGCACAAAGACATAGGTTTAATTAACGGTATAAGAAATCGAGATCTAGATCATGAGTGTGATCTGACAAAGGGAACTTCAATACATAAAGGTACATTGAACGCATCGCCAAAGGAAAATCCAGCACTAGATCTACCATCCTTGGAATCTTCATCCCTTGTGACGCCACCAATGGACATAAGCAAGGAGCCTATTGGCAAACATACAATTTCTGGGATATGTTCACCTCTAAGTCATACATTGGGAAACAGGTCAGATGGAAGTCATGGAACTGATAGTCTTAGTATAGTCCAAACTGCCACAAAGCCTTTTGATTGTCACACAAATGATATGATGAAAGACATCAATACCCCCATGCCTTTACTTTCTCAATGGAATAGTCCTAAGTATACTGCTATGGGTAAAGAGTCTAGTGACTATATTCCACTGCCGTTGAGCTGCAACAAGGATGAAATGCGTGGAAATGATTTGAATGACATCCCTACCCACAGACCAGAAGGTGGCAGTGGAGTTGCCAATGTGTGCACCCAGGAAAAATCTATTTCTGAAAAGGTAGCTTCCATTTCCCGAATGTTTTTAATTCTTGATAGGGTTGAGAAATCATACTCCGTCTGTTCCATGTCATTGTTCTCATTTACTATTCATTTAATAAATCCGACATTCTGACCCTCTTTTATTCTCTAATTTTATGTCTCAAATTTACATATTCAAATTCATTTTTTCCGGTATAAAACTTTTAAGATTCGTTTCTAAATATATACGTTTGAATTACTAATACTAATTAATAATTATGTGAGGAGAATTATCTTTATCCTCGATCAAGTCTCGCAATCCGAAACTTAAACACTATTATGGATCCGAGGGAGTATATGTTTTTCACATGATTATGTTTTTCGCCCTTGCACATGTAGTGTTTTTAGGTCCTTTTTTGTTACATTCCTCTAATTTTTGCTTTTGATTTTTAATCCCTCTTTGTAAACTTTTGGTAAAAAACAGACATTGCTTACGGCTCACCAAACTCTAATCCAGCCTTCCCTTGTCAACTTTGGTTGTTGGGCCAAGTAAAACCCACCATCCCCATCTTCAGTTTATGCCTCTGGTTTTTTGGAAATGGAAACATCAAACATTAAGAAATGATGCATAAAAGCTAGACAAAAGAGATACGATCCTTGTCAGGGTTTGTAGCATAGGTTGACTGAAACCAAAACCTTACATTGGCAGGGATGACTTATTGGAGCTAAATGAAAAAAATATAAGATGCAGAGCAATTCAAGTCCAATCAAGAATTCAACAATGCTCAAGTCTCCCCCACATTTTTCCAACACCCAGTTTCATAACCATTAAAATTGCAAATGGAGAAATTTTTCCTAACCTGTTTGTGTGGAATTGGAATTACAGATTCCAGATTTATCCCAAGAAGATGTCAATAAGCCTGCTAATTGTGTGACAACAAAGAGCTTACCACTTCATGGGAAGGCTTACCTGAAAGTTAGGAAGAGGCCTTTCAAGTCCCATTTAGCTTCCCTCATCTTCTCCTCAGCCTTGTGCCCGCTGAGAAAGAGAAAACATGAACTTATGAAATGTGGTATTTCTCACAAAAATTTGAGTAAGGAACATGTCCTGCTGGGCCTTATCCTTACTTCTAAGGCTGTCTTTGTTTCTAAGAAGAATAGTTTCTGGTGCAAAACACCGGTTTCCTCAAACATGTTTTCCAGTGCCAAATACAAGAAAGCCAGAAAACATGTTCTAGGAAAATATTTTCTTAAGCAAACAGAGTCCAAGACAGCAAATGTTTTTACTACCAGACGTTTGAGCTAAGAGAAGTTATTAAATGTGTCTCTAATGCAGAAGGCCACCGGGATGCTGGACGTGTGAAAGGTAAAATAACTCTTGAAACACCCAAAAAGCGAACTGGGGATATAGACACTGCACTGCTAACCGATAAGCAGCATGTAAAATCTTCTAGTTCCACATCATCAGGGAATAAATCTGAAAATGTAGAATCTATTGCTCTCAAAGATCTAAACCAGAGTGGTCTGATGAACATGCTTACCAGAGGATTAGAAGAGACAAGAGGTGAGTGATCTATTTAAAGTGCTTTCTTCACCTCCATGACCTTATACTTGTTCCTAAATGATAAGCTTGTATTTAATTACTCATTAATAAATACTCCCTCTGTTTAAAAGTCTTGTTTAAGTAAACTACATATTTTTATTGGTAGTAAACTTGATCAAGCAATGTACAAGCTTTAACAAATTATAAACGAGCACTTATAAAGTTTATTCCAAAGATTGATTGGAGTAATGAAACCCCAACCATTTACTATTCATTAAAAAAAAATAGCCCATCATTGTTTTCATCAAAGTATGACTCAATCAATCACTCCTAGCAACAAATTAGTAACGACTCTTATTCTTTCTCATAGAACATAATGAATCCCGTTTTCAGCAGAAAACAAGGATACTCTTATTTGTGCGTTAAACAAATGCTTTACTTCTAGTCATAATAAATTTATAACCTCTTCATTCATTGGGGCAAAGTTCTTGAATTATGTCATTTTTATGGCCAGGAAGGGAATAGTTGTTAAATTGGCTGGAAATGACAAACTAAGGCTAGCCTTTGTATAGAAGGACCGGATATAAAACTAAATGCACACCTGATATAGAATCACACAATATGTTAACTGGATTATCTTTGTAGGGTTTAACCATAGCTATAAGTCTATAACTCTTGTTTATTATTTTTTGAAGTTGCGAGCTGGGATGGCATTGAAAATTTTTTAGAGATTCGCGGAGCAAGAAATGAGCGTGCAAATATTGGCTACGTTGGGGATGAATGGTGAGTTCCATTCTTGTCACGTGAACAGATATATTTTGCTATAGCTCTTTTACAAGACCATAATTTCACAAGTCTTGGTTATTCTCTTATTGGTATTTTACAAAGCCATGTGAAGTAATGACCCAAAACACTTGGTTAATATCTTCTCTAGTGTTTTAATCTGTTGGCGTCATGAATTTAAGTTATTTAACCCTAAAAGTCTCCACATGTAACCCTAATCTGTTGGCTTAGACAGGCTTACTCAACGCCTAGGAGTGGGGCCTAGGGGGACACCACAAACAAATTACCAAATGAGTTGCACATCCCCTCTGAGATTATCAATAGACGTTTAGAACACTTCATGTCACATATTAGGGTATATCTTGATCTCAAAAAAAATTCAGGGGAAGGATAAAAGATTCTGGGAAAAAAAAACAAATGCAAAGATAAATGAAAGTATAGTTTATACTTTCACTTATTTTATATTAGTTTGTATCTTTACACATGCTGATTTCTTGATTATTACTCTCTCCGTCCCATAAAATTCTTCCCGGTTTGACTTGGATCGATGTTTAAGAAAGTGAGAATAAAGTGAAAATGCATGGTTGTGGTTAAGTAAGAAAAAAGTAATTGAATGTTAGCCACTCAAAACTTTCCAAAAAAAGAAATGGGAAGAATTTTTTGGAACATCCCAAAAAGGTAAGTGAGAAGAATGTTATGGGACCGAGGGAGTATATTATAGGTTGAGTTAAATAAATACTCCCTCCATCCCAATTTGATGGTCTCGTTGCGGTTTACGATGCTTGATCGACGATAAAGCAAATGGATCCCTGTTTGCACTCAAATTAATTTTAGAAAAAATTACATATTTAAAAACTACATTAAAAGCTTCACAAAGTTGCAATAACCAGAATTAAATTTGATAAAAAAATGATATACTATCGTATAAAGTAAGAGATTAAGAGTGATTTGTGTTGGCCAAGTGAATAGGAATCGAGACAATCAAATTGGGACGGATGTAGTATTAAAGATGGAAAATATCTATACAAATTTATTGAGTTAGACTTTTTTTACACTCCAACTTTCCAACTTATCTTTCCCTATTTCCATGTTCCATGTTCCAAATGGATCCTTAGTGTTGGAGTGGATTTATGTATCCAAAGGTTTAGTATGACTTTTAGCATTGTAGCTACAATTAATGGAAAATGCTTTTTTTTGTTTTGCACACAAACTTGTATGTACGGAGATGGTTTCTTTGTTTGTGCATGCTGTATGCCTGTATGCCTGTATGCCCGGTGTACAACTGGGTGCACAAATAGCACAAACCTGTATTTACAGGGCTCAGGTTTTGTTGTAATATAACTTCTGAGCACTCATCTCCTTGCAGGGATGAGCAGTATGATCAGGGAAAGAGGAAGAAGATAAGAAGCTCCAAACTCGACTTTGGTGGCCCAAACCCATTCCAAGAAATTGCAAGTAAGAAGGCACGGTTCAAAACTAAAAAAGCAAAGCTGGATCACTGTAGCTCCGCCAATCAACCATTCAGGATATGATGATGAAAAGCTTGGATACATGTATACACCATTGAGAGGCAGCTATTTTGGAGCATAGCATGGCAAGGAGTCAAGGACCTAAGGCACCCCTCCCCCTAGCATTACCCCAATTTTGCATGTTTGGGGTCAGTTGAGGAACATGCGCAAGAGAGTGTAGAGTTAAATATGGAAACTGGAAAATCGTGTGCTAAAAGCTTATAGTCTGTATTTGAACCTTTTTTCTTCCAATTATTAGTACTCGATCTTATATTTATAACTTAGGAGCAGTTCTTGATATTTATGTTCCTACAAGGCTACAACTATGCTCCATTTCTACAACTATGTTCCTACGGTCCGGCGTGCTACTGTGCGGGCCTGGCCCACCGGGACCAGGACTGGGGACCTGAACTGAGGAATCGAGGATGGGGGGGAGGGGGGGCTACGGGATGATGGAACTGCTGACTGGTCCGGCTGGTCTGGGACCCGTCCGGGCCTAACGGCTAGTTTTTTTTGGGAGAATTTGATTTTGTACCCCACTTTTTGGGTGATATTTAGGGATGGACCGATTCGGGCCTGGGCCCAGCCGGGCCTCGGTTCATGAAGGGGGAGGCCCGGAACCGGCCCGGGTAACCTCCGGGTCCGGGCCGGACTAGTGGTGGACTCGGTTCGGGCCCGGCCCGGTTCGGGCCTAGAACCGGCCGAGCCTCGGTTCACGGAAGGCAGGCCCGGAACCGGCCCGGATAACCCCGGGTCCGGTTGGGTTCGGGTCACCCGCCCGGTTCACAGGCCGGGCCGCCCGCCGGGCCGGGCCTTTTAATTTTTATTTTATTTTATTATATATTATATTATTAGAATAATTCTCATTACAATTACAATATATTATATTCGAATTCAAGTATATTTATTTCAAATAAGAAGTACAATTGAGAATTAGGATGAATTTAAAAAATGTAATACATTTTGTAATAAAAAATCAATAGGAATCTCCGCCTTCGGTTGTTTCCTCCATAAAGTGGCGGGTGGGAGTGATGGTAATTTCTTGAGTTCTTCGTTGGGTCTTCAATCAATCGTGAAAGCAAACTAGTGTCTCAAGAGAGCTCGGGCTCAACCTCGTTCTATAATCGGTTAGGACGTTGTCGGCCGCACTAAATTCTTGTTCCACGGCAACGGTTGATATCGGCATTGCTAGCACTTGCTTAGTCATCTTTGATAAAATCGGGAATGTTCTTTCATTTTCCTTCCACCACTTAAGAACGTCAAAGTCATCACCAATTTCATAATCAACATTCAATGTTAGATACAAAGAAAGCTCGTTACCTGAGCTTTGTTCAGTAGCGGGAGTTGCTCTACTTTTTTTCAAAAGAGAATCAAAAACGGATTTTAAAAGTGATTTTCCTTTAGATGAAGAAGATGTTCGTTGCATGGGAGGGAGTGCATTACCATATTGTGTATGAAATTCATTATACAATTGATGAAATAAATTACTAACCTCGTTGAATTCTTGTTTAGGGTCGATGAGATTATCATCGAACTCTTGAGTTGGAAAAAAAGAAGCATAATAGTAATCTATACAATTTGTCAAGTAAGCAAATTTATAACGAGGATCAAGAACAAATGCAATACCATATATATGCGGAATATGTGAATAATATTTTAAAAACTTTTGTTTCATGAAATCACAAAAATAACTAACGTAAGTGGCTTCGGAAAATTCACAAAAAGCGCCGGCGAGATTAACAGCTTCAACAAAAAATTCGTTTGCGGTAGGTTTATAAACATGACTAAAAGTTAGAGTTGCGTTATTAAAATATGCCAAAACATTAACAATTTTTTCACAAGTGTCGATGTCAGCCGGGTTTATAATATAGTTACAAGTTTGTCTTAAAAAAGCTGGAAAATGATCTTTATATCTAACAAGTACTTGAATTAAATTATAAGTACTATTTCAACGAATAGACAAATCTTTAGGAAAAACACAATAATTGACACGTCTATCCTTCAAATATTGCCGTCATTGCATTTTTAGTGGAGTGCTAGCCCAAATCAATTTAATTCCCCCCTTCACTACCTCCAAAGCATTTCCTAATGCCGCTAAGCGATCTTGTACACACAAATTTAGAATATGACATGCACAACGTTGATGAAAAAACCTACCCATCAATGTAGAAGCACCACACAATTCACGTAATCTAGGTATAGCAGCAGTATTATTACTAGCATTAACAAAACCTACAGCAAACACCTTATCAATCAAATTATACTCAATTAAAATACGTTCAATGAGAATATAAATATTATCAGCAGTGTGACGATCATTGCATTCACGAAAAGCAAGAACACGTTTATGCATATTCCAATCATCATCAATATAATGTGCAGTAAGACCTAAATAATATAAATGATGATAAGTATTCTCCCATATATCGCTACAAATACTAACACATCCATGAAAGTTTGCGAAAAATATTTGTAATTTTTCTTTTTCCAAGTTATATTGCCTTATAACTTCTTTTTAATCGTTTTGCGACTATAATTTCTAAATTGAGGATTTCAAGTACCTTGAGCATAATCTCTTAAATCAAGACTCCCGTATCCGCCAGAAGTTCCCAAGCTAAACTCTTTCTTGCAATGATTGCAACTTGCGTACCATTTTTCGGTTTTTTCGTCTTTCCTTTTTGTATAATTGTTTTCAATAATAGGAGATTTAGATTTCTTACCAATTTGGGTTGTAGTCGTTGAACGGCCCTCGTCCTCCAACTCTTGCTCATCATCCGGAGTCCCGTCGCCCCCCGCGTCCTCCTCCGCATCGTCATCCTCGAGCTCCTCTTCATCGATGGTTGTCGGGAATTGTTGTTCTTGTGCAAAACGTGGATCATTTTGGGACAATAGGCGTTGTAGTTGCTCGTCGGACATCATCATATCATCTCGCCGTTGGTAATCCGTTTCAAAATCATCTCGACTTTGAAAAGAAGACTCGGCCCGCGCTTTACCTTTGCCTTTGCGTGAAGTAGATCGAGTCGATGCAATCTCCCTCTTGCGGTTGCGTTGGAGATTACCCACATCTACAGAATGTCTACCACGCTCCATCTTTAAAATTGAACAAATATTAGCAATTAAGTAATATGAGAAATGTAAAAATGTAGCAATTAACTAATATGAGAAATGTAAAAATTAACTACTTTTTTTTACTTTAATGAGAAATGTAGCAATTAACTAATATGAGAAATGTAAAAATGTAGCAATTAACTAATATGAAAAATGTAAAAATTAACTACTTTTTTTTACTTTAATGAGAAATGTAGCAATTAACTAATATGAGAAATGTAAAAATGTAGCAATTAACTAATATCAGAAATGTAAAAATTAACTACTTTTTTTTACTTTAATGAGAAATGTAGCAATTAACTAATATGAGAAATGTAAAAATGTAGCAATTAACTAATATGAGAAATGTAAAAATTAACTACTTTTTTTTTACTTTAATGAGAAATGTAGCAATTAACTAATATGAGAAATGTAAAAATGTAGCGATTAACTAATATGAGAAATGTAAAAATTAACTACTTTATTTTACTTTAATGAGAAATGTAGCAATTAACTAATATGAGAAATGTAAAAATGTAGCAATTAACTAATATGAGAAATGTAAAAATTAACTACTTTTTTTTACTTTAATGAGAAATGTAGCAATTAACTAATATGAGAAATGTAAAAATGTAGCAATTAAGTAATTAACTAATATGAGAAATGTAAAAATTAACTACTTTAATGAGCAATGTAGCAATTAACTAATATTAATATGAGAAATGTAACAATAAAGTAGTTTAACTAATATTAATATGACAAATGAAACAATTAACTTTAACTACTTTAACTAATATTAATATGACAAATGAAACAATTAACTACTTTAACTAATATTAATATGACAAATGAAACAATTAACTACTTTAACTAATATTAATATGACAAATGAAACAATTAAGTAATTTAATAGATAAACGAGAAGTCTAACAATTAACTACTTTTATAAAATGTATGTATAACTATATATAGTATATATAATATAATGTGTAAAGAATATAGTATATAAACGAGAAGTCAATGAGTATAAGTATATATAGTATACATAAATATATAATGTGTAAATATATTATAAGTAATATATAATATAATGTATAACTATATATAGTATATATAATATAATGCGTAAAGAATTATAGCATGAATGTGTATAAGTATATATCTATAAGTAGATAATTAATATATAAGTAGATATAATAATTATATAAATTATATATATGTAGAAAGAATTTGGAGAAGATTAAGAACAAAGATGATTGAATATGAGAGATTGAGAGAATAGAGAATTTAGAGAGTAGGAAGAGTTGTAGAAGAAGAGGTGTAAAAAATGTATAGAAAATAGGAGTATAAATAGATTTTTTTTTGTATACCCCACCCCCACCCCCCCCACCCCCTAACCCCCCAGACCCACTCCTATGTTCCCAACGGCTATAGAGCCATTTGGGAGCTCTACCAACGGCTATGGAGCCTTCTAGTATTTTTTTTTTTAAAATCTTACCGTTGCGGCCCGGACCAGGCCCGGTCTGCCCGGGCCGGTTCACTGAAATGTAGGCCCAGGACCGAACCGCTTGAAGACCGGGCCGGGTGGCCCGAACCGGGCACCAACCGGTTCACCGGGACGGTCCGGGCCCGCACAATAGCGGGCCTGTCCGGTTGGCCCGGCCCGAGTCCATCCCTAGGCCGGACCGGGCTTCGGTTCTAATTTTTTTTTGGCTTTTCCTAGTTAACCCCCAACCCTCCCCCTCACCCCTAAACCAACCCTAACCACCTCAAATGGCCCAAAATACCAAGCCCAACCCAAAAACTTAAAAAAATTCAAAAAAAAAAAAATCATAAATTGGCCCGCCCCGGGCTCGAACCGGCCAGGCTGGTTCACCTTTTGAAGGGCCCGAGCCCGAACCGCCATCCCACCAGGCCGGGTGGCCCGAACCGGGCAACCAACCGGTTCACCGGGCCGGTCCGGGCCCGCACAATAGCGGGCCGGTCCGGTTCCGGGCCGGTTGGCCCGACCCGAGTCCACTTCTAGTGATATTATCCCATTTTAAAAAACCTTTGACTTTGCACCCTATCATATAACCTTTGTAAAGGAATATTTTAAAATGGGTGCAAAGTCAAAGGATTTTGAAGTGAAATAGGGTGCAAAATCAAAGTTTTTTAAAAATGGGGTGCAAAGTCCAATATCATCCAAAATGTAGGGTGCAAAGTCAAATTTCCCATTTTTTTGTTTAAAACGTTTAATGGATTT